TTCATACTCATCCAGGGATATTAGCTTCAGTGCAATGGGCTGTAAACTTCATGACAATGTTGCGCACAGTGGTCACAGGAGCATTAAGATCTCTGGCGATTGACTTGGAGCTTTGAGACTGTCCATGCTTTTCCACAATTTTGGTTCTCAAATTCTTTGCCAATATTTTTGTCCATCACTGTATTCACACACACACACACACACACACACACACACACAAAATCCGATTCTGCTGCAGCCACACTCGAGGTATCTGTCTATTTTATGCCATTAACATCCTGCGGGCATCACGCTAATGAAACATACGCTGCTGTAAACAATCGTTCGCTATATTTACACTTAACAAATCAGTATGTCGGTCAACAAGTCGCAGTTTTTAACCACCCCACGCACACACTCAGGGAGATTTAGCCTATGGTTGAAAATAACAAGAAAACACATGCGATTATTTTTTATGTCGATGAAGGTTTGTATGAGGTCAAACACAAGTGTACCGAGCTATCGATGTCACGCTCTCAACAGTACTTTGTGCTGCTCTCAAACTGGTGGATAAAACACACATGCATGCATAAAGTCACACCGGACACATCCATCTAAGAGGACTTCCTGTAAGGAAAGAAATGCACTGACACACAAAAAGACGCACACAAATATGGGTGCGGAACGAGGGTGTAACAGATGCTGTGGCACAGACATGCACGCACACAGCCATTTCAGTGTCCTGACTCACAGTCTAAACATACGCTTTGTTTCGGCCAAACCCTCGATTGGCCCAACGTCACCCCAACCTAAAAACCCAGATCCCTCACTCTCTCTTTCTTCATCTTTCATCCATTCAACTCTCGAATGCACAGGCCCACACTGCGCCACCTTCTCACTCATCCATATCTCGTGTCTCTCTTCCTGTCCGTCCTTCCGTCCCCACTTAATCTGCTCGAACGATCTCTCTTGCCGTGGATCTTCCTGGATAGGCGGACGACTGAGTGCCTCTCACAGCTCCCGAGAACCCAACCCGTGGACATCGAAGCAGAACGTCACAAGTTAGGGTCTCAGGGAAGGAGAGAGGCACGGTGTGGCGCGGAGAACCGAGCGATCGCCATTCTGATGTCCCATCCGTCGTCTTTAATTCAGCATCCTTTCCACATTTACTGCGATCGGACACTTTAAAGCAACACAACATAGTTACACACACGCCCATCAGCATGGACTGCACACAAAGACATTGGGTCTCACGAGCAAACACACATGCGCGCAGCGGACGAGGACATGCGTGGAGAAGTGGCGCCACACACAGACCTCTCTCACCGGCCACACACACACACACATTGCACGTTAGACGAATCGAGCACCTGTCTTTCCGTTCACCGATACGGATTGCTGCAGAAGAGACATTCGCATGTGCGCAATGAGGTTTTAAGTCAATTATAAAACAGACATGATGTAACCACGAGAACAGTGCAACACATATGGATACTATCGGGTCACGTCGGCTCTCGTATAAATCACACACACGCACTGAGAGAAGGGAGTGAACTCACCGAGCTGGCTGCAGTGACTGACTGGGTGCTGCGGTCCTCCGCATGCCTGAGAGGACAGAGAAGGAGAGACAGAAAAGAACGCTTTTTACGTTGCTCATCCAAATGAAGCCACTAAATACAAAAATTCAAAGGGAAGAGCAAATAAAAAGACACGATATAGGACGCTGACAGGCTGATGTCTGCCTGCCGTCTGGAGCCGAGAACCGCACAGTAGAGAGAGAGAGAGAGAATGAGAGAGAGAGAGAGAGAGAGAGAGAGATCGAAAAAAGGTGGGAAATTCAAACGGCCACAGAGCACTGCTGAAAAAGGAAAACGCGAACAAAGGAAACAAAGAATCTGGGGAGAAAAGGTATCCGGATTAATCAGCCTATAGGACAGAAAACTGAATGGGGGATGAGAGAGAGAAAGAAAAAGAGAGAGAAAAAGAGAGCGAGAGAGGCAGGGCCACGACACCGGCAACACACACCAGACTTCTACCCAGAGGGCTATAAGATGAGAGATCAGCAACAGGGGGTGGGGTCGTTCGCGCACACGCATGCACCGTCTCTCACCCTGTGTCACATGTGCGGCGGGTGCGTATTCCATCCCGAGGCGGAAAAAACAGGCGGAACATCTGATCTACAGAGTCAAAAAGCGGCGAAAATAAATAGCTGTGAAACGGGTGTTCCTTAGTTCCATTCATCTCTCTGTGTGAGCGGGCCCTTCTCTCTGCCGTGTTTAGAGGGATACGAATCTCATGAAAAGTCAGGCTCAAAGAGAAAGAGAGAGAGAGAGAGCGGAAGAGAAAGACTGGGATAGAAGTGATCCCTTCATTTCCTGCAACAGCTGACACCAGTTAGCGCAAGAGGCCCACTACCCCCTGAGAGAAAGAAGAGAGGGAGAGAAATAAAAAGTATAGAGAGATAGTTAGACGGTGAAAAAGAAGAGATTTTCATCTCAGAAATCTCCTTACCCGTGAGCTTTTCTCTGTTTCGGTGGAAGAAAATAGTTTCCAAGCTCTGAAATTCCCCTCGTCGCTCACCATTATTCCACTCACTCTTTCTTTCTTTTTCTTTCTTTCCCTCACTCACTCCCTCTCTTTCTCTAGCTGAACTGAAGATTGGAGCAGGAGGGAGGGAACTAGAGAAAGAATAGGGAGAGAGGGGGGGAGCAGCACGGAGAGAGAGAGAGAGAGAGAGAGAGAGAGAGAGAGACTGAGAATATCGAGAAAGGGAGGGCAGAGGATAAAAAAGAGGCATGAACACATGAAAATATGATGTGCTTGGCTTGCATTCGATACCGCCTGGCTAGCACCGTGGCCACAACAGAGGGAAACGAGGAAGAAAACAGAGAGAAGGAGGAACGAGAATGACAGAAGGCAAAGGAATTGGGGAGATGTAAAGTGGAGATGAGAGAAAAGGGGGGACACGTGGAGACTGCGGCGGAGGAGACCTCTGACGGCCCACTTTGATAGGCTCTAATCAGCGACAGACAAAATTTTGTGTGCGCTTTACTCTCACACATTCTATTCACTCCTGATTGCCTTCACAATAATTTAATCTCTTGATATTCTTTATGTAAACTATTACAAAAATTAATGTTTGGCACGTCGGCATCCTGATATGCCCGGAACACACTCATGCCGTGGTACGTCATGTGGAAATGGTGTTACACTTCCCTCTCCTGGACACAAGCAGCCATATATCTTACAGTCACCTCGAGATTCATTCTGGCCCATTCTGCTTGCCGTACTTCACTAAAAGAAGCTACAGTACTATGTTAAGCAGACACAATCCCGCTCTCCTGACTCTATCCATCTATATTCTCATGATTTATATCTGTGTAAATAATACAATAACCCCCAAAAGGGGGCCCCCAACTGCACTTTCTCATGCAGGTGAGGGTCAAATACACACCCACACACACATCTTAAAAAAAAAAACACAGCCCATGTGGATGGTTCATAGTATCTTACTCAAAAGGCACAATAAGGAAAGAGCAGGATTGTGACGTCTCAATCCTCATTCATGCACATACACACATAAAATTCAGAATGTGTGGCTGTATTACTTAGCACTAATTTGCCAGACAAATTCACCGTAAAATACTCTCTCAAACAGTTAAATATTTTGCATTAGTAAGCACACTGGGTCAAAACTAAATTCAGACAGGTGTCATATACATTACCATTCAAAAGTTTTGAAAAAACATAATGATCGAATAAAAGAAAATAAATATTAATTTAAATATTAAAATTGTTTTAAATAAATGCTGTTTTTTTTACTTCTATCAATCAAATAATCATGAAAAATATAACAAATATTTATCAGCACAACTGTATTCCATATTGACAACAATACAAAATGTTTCATAAGCACCCAATCAACATATTAGAATGATTTCCGAAGAATCATGCAACACTGAAGACTGGAGTAATGGCTGCTGAAAATTCAGCTTAGCAATCACAGGAACAAAATTCAAATTTAAAAGTTTATTGAAAAAGCAAGTGTATTTTAATTTGTAAAAATATTTCACAATATTACTGTTTTTACTGTATTTTTGATCAATAAATACAGCCTTGGTAAGCGTAATTTAAAGACCGACCCGAAACTTGAACAAAAATATGCAATACCAATGCTCTTCAGTTTAATAACTGTAACCACCCAATGCAAACACCGTAAACCATTGCACTGTTTGACATCTTTCTGATCAGATAGAATACACCTAGATTTTTTTTAAGCTTAGAGAGTGATGTCATCAGCAAAACTTGTTTTTTGGGTCCCATCTCCTCCTTTAACACAAAAGCACTATTGTTTGCCAAGAGTATAAGCAGCATTAAGGACATGAATGACAGTGAGACAGATATCAAGAGAGAAAGAAAGCAAATGAATGTTGATTATTGAGCTCGGAAGTAATTTACATTTACATTTAGTCATTTAGCAGATGCTTTTATCCAAAGCGACTTACAAAGTAGAAGCAATCAGACCAACGAGAGAGCAACAATATACAAGTGCAGTGACAAGTCTCAGTTAGTCTAGCACAGTGCACATAGCAAGTTTTTTTTATTTTTTTATAAATAAATTAGACCAAAACGAATAGAATAGGTAAGTGCTAGTATTAATTGGTCAGGTGATGGTGAAAAAGATGTGTCTTTAGACACACTGTCTTTAGACAAGTCGTAATGTTTTGGCAGTGAAAGGGCTGACAATTCAGTTCCATATTATCTAATAATCTGAAATCGCATTAATTTCAATCCACAAAAGCAGAAAGCGGTTTTTTTCAAATTTCTCTTAAGCTCATAATATTTCACCCGGGTTTGACCTAGAGAACTCATTCACAAATATGGACATTTCAGTGGTGAAAAAGTGGTCCACATCCAACACAAAAATCTCTCCAAATCCAGATCTGTTACTCCGGAGTGTCCTAAACACTGCTAGTTTAAATGTGGCTTGAGGTTTGGTTCTTTCAGTCTTTTTTAGCTGCATTTCTGGAGCTGGTTTTTCCACATTGACAGCACTGTTTTTTTTGGTGAAATGAGGCTGAACTCTGCACACATTTGGCTTCGGTGCACCATTTTCTCTCCCTGAGGCATTCTGGGTGGCAGAGCGCTCATAACATTATTTATCCACTGTGTGTTTCTTAAGCTGCATTAGAAGTTTGCTGACTCACATTGTCAGCAAGGCAGGAAACGGCATATTATGTATAATAAACTGACTTCAAACATTTATTAAGGCTAGGCACTAAACCATATGCAATGTCTGGGCAAGCAGCAAAAACCAGACGTAGTTTATGGTGGGGAGCCTGGGGACACCTTTTTTTGCCATTGCCAATTTTGTCTTCACCACATTATTAAGTAAATTGCAGCAGGGATTCACATAATACAGATAATATAGATACATATTTTTTCATAACAAATATTAGATTATATAATAAAAGTATCTTATTTAATATCCAATGAGTGGCAATCCAATGCAGTAAAAAATGCGGTTGTCATCAGTAGAGGAAAGTATCGCTGTAATGTTCTGTCCAGCACATCGCTTTCAGACACACAATCCAATCTATCACTTTTTTACGGCGCAATTCCAGTGAAATCGCAACAACGATAAAATGCTAGCAACATAGCTCACTCCTCACATACATTGTCTGTAAGCTGTAATTTTGGTTTATTGAATAAAGTCATATGAGGACAGTTAAGAGGCCTTCATACTTAAAGTCAAATCGTTACTGCTAGACCAACGAGTCATACTTCATTTTCACATGCTGATCCATTCATTTATCCACTGACCTACAAAATCCCAGGATCAACCAGTGTAGAAATTAAACTGTCAAATTAAATAATTCACAAGTTCATATGAGCACTTGAATTGGTAAGCAAGAATCATTGCTTCCTCAAATCACTGCGTACTGCAAGCTTAGTCATATGTTGAAAATTGCAACTCATTGTGCTGTGTTGAAATTGTTGCCTAAATGATCATCAGACATTTCTAATCTTAATATTACTGTTTAAATTTCAGTTTGGATATTAGCAAATGCAGACCTGACCTCAGAATCATTTTTTTTTCCATTCAACTATTTATCAAAACAGCAAAAAGTTTGTGCTAAATAATTTCTGTATACATACACTACCATCCAAAAGTTTTAATGTTTTTGAAGTAAGTCTTTTATGTTTCACAAACACTGGAATTACAGAAAAAATTAATTACAGTAAAAAAATACAGTAAAAATAAAAAAGTAATAAAAAGTAAGATTGTGAAATATTAGAATCTAAACTGACTGTTTTCTATTTTAATATATTTTAAAATGTAATTTATTTCTGTGATGACAAAGCTAAATTTCTGCAGCCATTTACTGCAGACTCATACTCCTTCAGAAATTATTCTAATATGCTGATTTGGTGCTCAAGAAACATTTCTTATTATTAATCAATGTTTAAAAAAACAGTTTTGCTGTTTAATATTTTTGTTGAAACCATGATACATTTTTTTTAGGATTCTTTTATGAATAGAAAGTTCATAAACACATTATAAATGTGACCCTGGACCACAAAACTTAAGTCTTAAGTCGCTG